TCCCTAAGCACTGGTACGAGGTCTGACCTCGCTCATTACCCTACGGAAGAGCCGACCTTTGGTCGAGCCTATAGCCGGTTGAAATGAGCTATGTACACACAAAAAAAAAAAATCACATAATAATAATAAAAAAAAAATTTAAAAAAAAAACAAAACAAAACAAAAAAAAAAAAAAAATGACTTGGTTGAGGCCTCCTCGGCCACCAGCTGAGGCAAGCCTCGGCCTCTCCCATGGTCGAGGTGGTTGAGGTGGTCCTCGGCCACCTGGCCGAGGCGACCCTTGACCAAGGCAGTCCTCAACCATGGTAGCCGAAGCGACGGTGCTCCGTATTTTTTTTTAAAGATAAATAAAAATAACAATTAAAAAATATTATCGAATATATTTTACACCAATGTTTTTACATCATTACTACTCCCTTGTTGATTTTACTATGCTCTCACCTCAGGAGTAGGGGGGCTGATGACAGAATAATTGGATAAGTACTAGATCCAACCCGAAGCAGATTCAGACTAACCGGCAGTAGTCAAAGGAATTAACACATGCTGACATGCATTTGGTAACGGTCAAGAGTGAAGTTGAAGAGGTAGAATGGTTCTTAGAGTCCAATACCGCCTCATCAATGAGCGATTATGAGGAGAGCGCGGCAATTACTAAGGAGCCCAGACACTTATGGAGAGGAGTCGTTGAACTTATTAGGAGGTCGTTAGTGTCTTTATTGTAGCCGTTACCATTATACAATATAAAAAGCTGAAGTAATGTAAGTATGTAATAAGTGGGGGGACACGCTCGACGTTCTAATTCTTATACTGAAATACTTAGCAATACAACTTGTTACTGACATATTATATTTTATGGTAACATATTTACCGTCAATGCGTTTTTGGTGATGCGTACTTATTGTTTTATTTTTTTGTTGTGTATTTCTTAACACTGTATGCATATTTGCATAATTATTATTTTGCATTTTCTTATTGATTTTATTATTTTTGTTATTAACCATCCTTTGAAAAGAATAAGAAAGGAAGATTGTGAATGCAAGGAATTTTTAACAACATTCATGAAGATATGCACAATTCCTGAGTGCTTTACACGATTCTCCAAACACACTTAATTGCGTTTGCACACATTTAATTCACGTTCGCACACACATAATCTAATCTAGACCATTAAAAAATATTAGATGGATGCACACGATTTGTTCTCACGTTCTCAAATAAGCAAGTGTTCTCATATAATCCTAAATCTATATATATAGGCCAGTGTTCCCGTAAGTCCATCCTTTCCCATGAATCCGTGTGGACAACTGTGATCCATTGATCTAGAGACAAATAATGGCTAGGATTTAATTGACTTTTATTTAAATTTCATTATCAATTTAATGAGCAGGGGTATACATTGGACTGTGCATTTAAAAGTGGAAAATAATATATTAAGGGATTTTGCATGATTTTAGGGAGTGTATAACAATTTATTTGTACGCTGATCGTCATCTCTTCCTGCTTCATTACACAAGTCACACACACCACCGGGAATGGAGACTCCGGCGACGGGTAAGTTATTTTCCGGCATCTAGTTTTTGGTTTATGGGTGCCTTCTTGAAGTGCACATATGGGGTATTGATCAATTGTGATTAGTTGGTGATCTCATAGACCTCTGTCTGCTACCATTGCGAATCTAATGTTATTGTGTATTTTGTGGATGTCGGCTTAGAGGGTTGTGATGGTTTATTAAATGAGACGACTGTGCACCCTCGTATTGTTGCATGTGCGTCGTTTTAAGCTGTAATTAGAGTTTCAACAGTATAGGTGTTAGTGTCCATCTAGAATTTTTAAAATGGAGTCGACAGTGCACCTGCGTATTTGAGATTGTGCATCTGTATAAGCTCAAACTAGAGGTACAATAGTAGAGGTGTGAGTGTCCAACTGGGTAGGTGACCTGTGCAACTGGGATGAAAAGTGTACTGTGCACTCCAAACCCTATTGTGGGCAATTACAAATAGAAACGGAAAAAAAAAAACCTTCAAAATCAGCCTAACATTTACGCCACAAATCTCCAAAATACCCCTGCAATTAATACACAACCCAATTACCCCTGCAATTGATGATCCTCGGTCTTTGTTGAGAGTGTGATGAGTCTTTGACGTTGATCTTCTTCTGGCTTTCAAATGACTATATACTGTATTCCTCAGTCTCAAACGCTTTTGATTATATCTATCTATATACTATGCTATTTAACGCGTATTGATGGGTTACCAGCATTATTCCCTGACCGGGTTTATCCCTATGTTTTACAGGTTTTGCTTAGACGGAGAGCGCGCTAGAAGTGGACTCTAGTTAGCGTAGATTTGTTTTCCCTCTGCTTAGTTTTGTGCCTGTGAGCCTTAGATAGACGGTGGCCTGTGTGCCTTAGAAAATGTGTTGTTTTGTTGGATTTTGTAGACTTAGCATGTGCACCATAGTTTTATGGGTGTGGCATAACACCTTTCCCGGTTTATAATAGCTTCGCCTTTATGTTGATTGATGTTTAGTTTCCCTATCTTTGAATTTTAAGTTTTAAAATGTTGGTAAAATCGGGGGTGTTACAGCTCATATGCGGTCATCATCTGCCATGCGGTCGAGTGGCCTAATCTGCATCGTTCGATCATTTGCATCCAAAGGCATGTGACAATCTCAGTGCACCACATATCACTTGAAAATGTACCACACAACACTCAGAAATGCACCATAGAACACTAAAAATGCACCGCACACTAGTACACAATACACCTCGTTGACAGTTCTATTGAACCCGTCGACAAGTTTGACACCCCGTTGAGTGGTGTAATACAAATAAATGCACCATTAATCACTCAAATATGCAACATAGAGCACTCAAAATTTCACAACAGAGCACTCAAATATGCACCACACACTAGCACCTGATAACGGGTCTATTGAACCCGTCGACGGGTTTGACACCCTCGTTGAGTGGTGTAATACAAATAAATACACCATTAATCACTCAAATATGCACCATAGAGCACTCAAAATTGCACCACACACTAGCACGTAATGCACCGTCGAAATATACCTGGTGCAAAAATTACGATATTACCACCCCGTAATTTCTCTTCTTCATTGATTTCTAGCCGTTTGATCTCAGCTCATCCTACGATTCTAATATATCTGCATGACCGCATGGGAGACTAAGGCCGCACCTGAACTCTACTACTACTACACACACTGTTTGTTTGTTTATATGGCTGCAGTTCAGCAGGCATGTTCGGCATCGTATGTTGCAAATTTATGAGCTTGTCGATTATCATATTTGTGAGTTGGCAGTGAAACTATTTGGATGCCGTCTACAACGGGTGATTTTACGTTGGCATCAGCATAAAATATGCTTAGACCAAGGATGGGTTCAACTCTCTCTTCAAAATGTATTTGAGCGCCAGGTATCTTTACTAAGTGCTCAATATTTATGTGGAAGCTTCTCAGGATCAGAGGTACTTTCCATTCCTAGACTGCCTAGAGAGGTTTGAGAATTGTCTACCTTCCATTTCTTCTTTTTTTTTTTAAAAAAAAAAATGCAAGTGCATCTGTGGAGCATTGCCTTTTTTCATGTGTTCATGTTTTTTCGCGTGTGGCATAGTTTTGCTTTAATCTTTGGAATTTCCCTTGATAATGTCCGATCGGTAAGAGCTGTGTGTCATAAATGGTGGTTATCAGCTTCGTCGGGGACTACTGCGGGTTTATTTTGCTACCTCCTCCCTTGTCTTATTCTTTGGGTGGTGCGGACTTTGTATTATTGTATAATGCTGCTCTGTATGATAGTACTCCATTCTCTTCTATTGCTGCTATTTCCAAGATTAAAAAGGAAACTTTTTTGTTTCAATTCTTTGGTTCATCGTGTTCGTATAAATGGTTTGTTGGATCAATTCTTGGTTTCTGAGGGGATTATTGCTACATTTGTCTCTCCTCCGAGGCGCATGGTGACTTGGATTAAGTGGCACAAATCACTTTCAAGACGTCTCAAGTTAAGCAATGATGCATTATTTTTCATAAATGGAGTGGCAGGTGGGGCATGTTTGAGGAATTCGGCAGGCTTTTCATTGCGGGATTATCTTTTCCATTGCTTGCCTTCTCGGTACTCGAGGTGGAGGTATTGGCATTTGATTTTGCCTTGTGTTGGTGTGATATGGCATCTACTTGGACATGTTGAAGTTGATTCTCTTGCACTGGTTCGGTATGTTACCTCGTCCACAATATTGGTCCCGTGGAGAGTTCATGGTGTGCTTAATCAGATCCATTCGCGGTTGGTTTTTTGGTCTTCATCAATTGTTCATTTTTATGGTGAAGCAAACCGTGTCACGGATCGGATACTTTAACTTCATAGGGTTTGCCTTGCTCATCAGCTGCGCTTCTATGTTTTCTTCGTTTAGCTTGTTACCAGAAACTATTAAATTGATCCTTTTCTATGATTTCTGAGACTTTACCCTTCGAGATTTATTCATTCATAATAAATCTTATACTTTACTTAAAAAAACAAAAAATCATCTTTTGAACTTTATCATTTAAGCACTTGCTCTATGCATCGAAGAACACCATATCCTGATGTATCACAATTATCAAGATATTCTCTTTCATCTCCATTACTTCAAGTAGTTTCCTCTTGTGGTCCAATTTTTTATCAATGGATAAATTAATAATTTTAGGTAGTTTTTCTCCAAACCATACGCTAGCTTATTAATAAATTAAATTCACTAATTATATTAATTTTAATCTTAGACCTTAATCCATGTGAGTGTTTATGCATGTTGCTTTTGTTGGTCTCCTGCATTAAATCATTTACCATATTCCCTTATATTGTGATATATATAATTAATATGTAAAGTAAAGAATGTTATTTTATATATGATAGATATTGCTTATTTTGTCCATTATAAACAGAATTTAAAGTGCATAATTTAAATTAATTGACTAAATAACTGGTGTTTTACAACCCAAACACATAACCCATCAATCCACGAACTAAATAATATCAAAAAATAAAATCAAATCAAATCAGTTGATTCAATTATATTAGGTAAGTTAAAACTATGAGCTATTTTGATGTCAAATTACTCAGTAATCAAACTATTTAACCATTGATCATATCAAACTTTGCATGTATAAATTCAAATACAACAATTCAAGCCTGCCAACATCTAACTTTATCACATCATTCTGCATGTATCAATTCAGTATTTCAGTGCTTGAGGATTTATCCCATATGCTGAACAATTTCTTGGCTCCATAGATGTATCGATTACTTGCAAGTAATCGCAGTCATAGTACCAATCATGAAATACCTCAGCAAAGGTCTGTAAAAATAACACTAAATTTTGTCACAAAAAAGATCTATATATATAGTAATTAATTAAGTAAATAAAGAAATATCACACTATTTTTATATTTTTTTTGACATTAAGAAATATCGCACTATTAATTACCTTGTTCCCTATGATTTTCAGCGTAGAAAAGTAAGGCAAATCATGGGCGATACAACTTGTAATCCACATGCCCCTAAATAATGGAAGAGCTTTCGGCAGTGCAGCTAATACATCCCATCTCAATTCTGAAAAATAAATAAATAATCAAATCTTTATTAATTATTTTATATATTATATATCATCCATTTCGGCCTCATGAGAAGTAACATTTTTTTTTTCCACACTTATAGCACTAACCTTGCATTGCCTCCTTCCGGTCATCGGTGCAGTTTTGGCTAACCAAGCACACTTCGTCCTCACGAAATAAGTTCAACCTTATCTAAAATAAAGAAACATTGAAAATAAAATTATATATTTAATTTATTTTAACATTGTGACAACTAATAGATTCATGATGGAATAACATTTGAAATCACCTAACTTAATATTAAAACTAAATTGCTTGGATCATTGAATTAAAATCACCAAAAATTAACAAAGAGTCCAATTAACCTGGATTTGGTCAAATGCTGACATAGCAATGAAAACGGGTGTCTTCACAAACAACAATAGATATTGCGGGAACAAGCACTGTGTGGATCCAAAACATGAAATATTTAGCAAAAAATGAAATATTTATTATGCCACAAACTCAACATTAAATTGGTTTAATTAACTTACAAGACTCGGTCTCATTATTGAAGTGCACAGTGGAGGTAGCATTGCAGCTGATCCCTGCAAAAAATTTTTATTAAAGTTTATATTTGAAAAATTAGCTTAAAAATTAATATAATAAAACATTTATAAACTAAAGAAATTGAAATTACATGTAAATCAATCAATGCATCAAATGTCGGCTCAAATTGTTTGCTCCCCAATATGTTTTCCCTAATAAAAGATTAGACATGTTAGTTCATTCCATTTTTAGCATAATTTAATTTTTTTTTGTAAATAAATTTGAAATTGACTATTATTTATAAAAATAAGCTTACTCGTGCACAAAATATCCTGCAATTGGGAGGCATTTTACTCTAGCAAATAGTGGGAGAAGATCTCGAAATCGATCACAGTGAACCATTGTTGCCAATCCCCCCGCTGAACTACCCATCAGAAGTGCCTACAATAAATTTAATAACAAATTATTTATTTTATTTCCCTCCAAAAGAGAAAAATAAAAAAGAGAAAGAAAACCTCAAAACATTATAGTTTTCCCATGGCATAAATATTTTGTTTCAAATAACAAATTCAATAATCTAAATAAGTTCAATCAACTATATAACTAAAGATTACCATACATTTTGTGCACAATTCATTCCCTTAGACAATAGATCGTCCATCGTGGCCTTAAAAATTCTAGCACCTCTGTATGTCACGTTAGTCACCTTAAAAAAAAAAAAAAAAAAAAAAAAAAAAAAAAAACAGGTGTTAACATATTTAGTATATTTTGAAATAAAATACTTTAAATTCAATTTTATAATACTTACAGTGTCAGGTGCTTCAATATCTCCCGTAAAGGACGATCCATCACAGTATGGAACATATACTCTATTCCAATTGTAGAATTCTATATATAACAAAATTCAAATATTAAATTAAAGTATAACAATAATTAAATAAATAATTTTAAATTTATTTTACCTGGATTTTCTGTGAAATTGTTTGAAAGAAAATCTACAAATTCCATAGATTGCTTCATATGCTTGGAAGAACCTTGACTATATGTAGTGCGAATTAGGCAGTCTGTTTGATTAACGCACCAACCTCCACCCTTCAAATCACATGTTTATGAGAAAAAGAAATACTTACGTTAAATATTAGAAATTCTCTTGTACACAAATTTATTATTATTAGAACACATTTTGCAGCTGAAAAAAATATCAAAGCTTTTGTATGGTATAAGAAGAAATGCAGACAGTGCTACCGTATAAGAAGAACAGAATTTAATGTCACTCAGAAACCCAATAGGGTACAAACTAAGGCATAACATATAATTAAACACAAATTATGGGATTTGTAACAAAACAAAAACTGATTTAATTTATACAATGTTGTATACTTTAAGATAAAATGAAGTTTGTGCATAAACATAAACATATATCATAAGGTTAGAACACTAATTAGGGCAGATTGATATATCATAACAGTAAAGAATTTTAAGAAAAAATTAAAGAACCGAATGACATACTTGTAAGTAAACGATCCAGTTATTGGCACCCTCCCCTTGACCTTGGTCAAAATAATATGCCGATGGAGATCCATCTAAACAAACTACATACAAAACATTCGCAAATTATGATATAGAAACATTCGAATATATAAGTAAATGATCTTTTATATATATAGCATAGCAAGCAAGATAACCAGGTACCTGCCCCTTTGGCGGTGGCATTTTGAACCCATGATAAAGAAACATTGTTAGTGGCATCTGGAGTTTGAGCCTCTATATGAAGTGGAGTAGTGAGGATGATGAAGCCAAGCAGTAGAGTGATTGTTGCCATCATAGTCTATACAGTAAAATAAATAAAATATTACTCTAACTGATCCAAATAAAGAATTGAATTGAAGGTTGATGGATGGAGTACTTTAATATAAAAAATTAGTAGTCTAACCTAACCGATCAAAACAAGCTAGATAGCTAGGATCGGAGTCGGAGGTCACCGGAGGATCGTCGGAGATGAGATGCCGGCGGGAGTGGATCGGAGTCTGCAGATCAGAGATGGGAATGGAGTGAGAGAATGAACTCATGGAGCCATCTTAAATAACAAGCTAAGCTACCAAATAAAGTAAGTTGGGGAATGGGAATGGGAATAGAGTGAGTTTGAAAGATGTAGATAAAATCATGAAATAATATATAATAATTTCTTTATTATAGCCTTTACTTTGAATAATAATAATAATAATACTATGTTAATAATATGTTATATGACCATGTGAATAATAATTTATCAATTAATTTTTAGATCATTAATATTTATACACAGTTGAAAATTATGGAATTTTCGAGTAATTGAAAGTGATCTTAAATTAAAGTCAAAAGTAAAAAGTGGTCGGAAATAGTAACAAAAGTTTTTCCGGATACCAGAAGTGGTCGAAACAAGGTTTTCGACTTGATTTAAGATCACTTTCAGGTGGTCAAAAATTTCATAATTTCCAACTGTGATAGCTTCCAGATAAAAATTTTTTATAACCCAAGTTTTCGCTTTCACCAAACTATCATCATGATGAATATTTACAAGCGCATTCATGCTTTTCAATTCAATTATTATTTTTTTTACTAATAGTTGGACGATTGAATATGGATGAAAACATTACATTTCAAAATATATACAAACTTGATCTAATGATTGATTCATCAATTAAATATTGATTCAGATCATTGTAATAAACCGAAATATTATTTAACTTGGCTAGGATTTTGTAATAGCCACAAAACAAAGTAATTAACATTGAATATAAAATGGATTAAAAACACTCAACATAAATTAAAAGAAATAGAGAAATGGCTAAGATTGCCCACTGCTAGCTGCTAGACTATAACAACGTAAAATAAAATAAAGAAATAACTATGATTAATGTTGAAAGCTACAAGCTAAAGGTTGTTTGGTTTATTTATTGCAAATTTATTACAGATGGGATTTTTTCTTCACATTATATATTGAACTTTTACATAGGGATGGAGTTTGACAGCTAGGAAAGTGTAGTATGTCACCTCACCTCTTACCTCTCTCATTTTTTTTTTTCCAACTACTCTATATATATTAATTATAAGACCTACTTAGCTTGTATATCATATATAGTATATTAGCCCGTTACTATTATAATAAAAGTAAGACATTAAGACATCTTTTTGATCAATTGATCTTGTTACACGCACTGTATTTTTCTAATATGATTTACATTTTTTATGTAGTTTTTAGATTATTACACATGGATATAGTTTACTTAATGCACACTTTGATTTGATCATTACGATTATCTTTGTCAATCTCATAAAAAAAAATAATAAAATAAAATAAAAACTAAATAATACTCTTCTCACAAGAGTATCATTAAGATTTTCCATATCTTTAATGATACTCAATTTCTAGGCAGGACGTAGGAAAAAGACCTATATGGATTAATTAGGAATGAGAGAGTAATTGCAAGAAGAGAGAGTATGTGGTGTGTGTTGCATACATTTATAACCAAAATCATTGAATCCATCCTTACCCTAAATGTCAATTAAGATTCCACTTTGACTTTGGGGACGAAATAGTCTTAAACTTTTAAGATACTTGCCCATCCATTAGAGGCCAGGGATTTATCTTCCAGCACAAAGATCAATTACTGTGTGTCATGGTGAGAATTTTGGGTACACTAAAAAAAATCAAAATCATTAAATTCGGTGCAACCAACCAAATTAATCAGGCTGTTAACTTGACAACCATAAAATTATAACTCACAACGAGTGTGACTTATTGGCCGTCAAGATTTGAGTCGGACAATTATGAATAATCTAAGTACCTATTTAAATTTACCTATTTTTTTTATCTTTTACCAGCTAGAATTACAAATTTATCCCGTGTTCACCATCAAATAAAGATGATGAGTTTTCTTTAAAAAATCATTGAACTCATTGTAGTAATTAACACACTACTTATGTGCTATACTTTAGTTATAAACTCATACTACCGTATCTTCAACCCATATGGAAATTTGCATAAAACGTCATACTCTCTAAAAGTGAAGAGGGCTCTTTCAATTCTGTGCAGTAAACAAAGGTCTAATTTCTATGTTCAGTTGAATTACCATAATTTATATCCTCTCAAATCATCTTTCAGATTGAGATGTGAAGACCCTTAGGTTGGGGGTTTAACCTTTTCGGAACAACTAATAAAAAAAAATACTGAATCAAATTTATTAACGTAAAAGTCTTATTCTCTTTGCTAATTAAAAGGGAAAATAAAAGTGTGAGAGTAATGATAGGAAGAGAGTGTGAGATATGATTCAAAATCATTCCTGGTCTAAGTAGCTGTGTAACTTGTTTGGTTCAAAAATATTTTATTTAGATGATAAATTTTCATTTAGTTTGAAAAAAATATATATTTTAAATTATTTACTTAGAAAATTTATTAAAATGAAAAATAAAAATTTCAAATTTCAAAAAAAAAAAAAAATGAATTAACCCAACAGGGTAGCTCAAGTTGCAAATGAGCTCTCTTTGTGGGGGAGAATTTTGGGATGACCCAGGTTCGATTCCCACAAGTGATGATTCCCTTTGGGCCAGCTTCTGTGCCTCTCAGAGTGAACCGGGTGGACCTGGATCGTTGGATCGTTAAACGGACAGAGAAAGACCTGGACCACAATGTGTGGTTTACACCGAAAAAAAAAAATGAATTCCTTATTATTTTTATTTTTCACACTTTTTGAAGAAAAAAAAAGTAATAATATGAATTTCAATAGTATCCACATGTATCTTTATTATATAAGGACATTTGAATCTTTATACTTATTATTTATAAGAACTAATTTCCTACCAAACAAACAACGAAATTCATATTCTAATTAGTTCGTAATTTCTTTTCTATAAAATTTTAAATTCAAAAAATCTTTTTAGATAATTTTAAATTCAAAAATTCTTTTTCACGAACCACAAACCAATTGAGTTGTTATTTATTTATTTATTTATTTTTGGATGAGTAAAAAGACCGACAGTTATCATATGAGAGTGTATATTAGATAAATTAACTTCACATTCTTACATAATAATTTACAAACCACATAAGAGTTATAAATCACACTGAAAAGATTATGTGACACGGACTTGATCAAGGAATCTCTAAATTACTTAGTTTTGTGACTATTGTTAAATAATTTTTTATTGTCCATTACAATTAAATATATATTTAACATAACTAACCAAATATCAAAGTTTATATTTTAAAATGTAGAGCATAACAAATGAGCCAGTAAACCTATGGCATAGATAGTCAATTCTTAGGAAAAATTGCAGGAGCAAGCTAAGACCTATGTAGGTACTCATTAGGATGAGAGAGTAATTGTAGGGAGGGAGAACATATGGTATGTGTTGCATATATTTAGAATCAAAATTATTGAAGTCAGTAGAATCTATTTAAGGTTGATATATAAAACTAAATTACCTAAAATTCGATTATTCATTAGTAATCAATGTAAAATGCTATGCTCATATTTGAAATATATATATATATATATATATATATATATATATATATATATATATATATATTATTTAGTTGATAGATTATTTTATAGAAAACGTTGATAGAAAATTTATTCAATTGAAAAATAAAATTTTCAAATTTGAGAAAAGTGACCTCACCTCTTGCCTCTCTCATTTTTTTTCTTACCACTCCGTATATATTAATTATATAAGACCTACTTAGCTTGTGTATATCATATAGTATATAGAATACATATATAACGTCGAGCCTTTAACGTCAGTTATATACTTAACTGATTTTGAAACTGAGCACATGCTCAACAACGTAAAATAAAATAAAGAAATAGCTATGATTAATGTTAAAAGTTACTAGATAAAGCAAATTAGTTTTACTGGTTTATTTATTGCAAATTTATTACAGATGGGATTTTTTCTTCACATTATATATTGAACATTTACATAGGGATGGAGTTTGACAGCTAGGAAAGTGTAGTGTGTCACCTCACCTCTTACCTCTCTCATTTTTTAGTTTCCAACTACTCTGTATATATTAATTATAAGACCTACTTAGCTTGTATATCATATATAGTATATTAGCCCATTACTATTATAGTAAAATTAAGACATTAAGACATCTTTTTGATCGATTGACCATGTTACAATGTATTTTCCTAATTAATATGATTTACATTTTTTATATAATTTGTAGATTATTACACATGAATATAATTTATTTAATGCACACTCTAATATAATCGTTACGGGTTATCTTTGTCAATTTCAAGAAAAAAAACTAAATAATACTCTTATCACAAGAGTATCATTAAGATTTTCCATATCTTTAATGATACTCAATTTCTAGGCAGGACGTAGGAAAAAGACCTATGTATGTATGTATGGATTAATGAGATATGCGAGAGTAATTGTAAGAAGAGAGAGCATGTAGTATGTGTTGCATATATTTAGAATCAAAATCATTGAATCCATCCTTATTAGGACTCTATTATCATTCAGAAATATTATATCCTCATCTGGTATCAGCAGGTTTTTTTTTTTATTTCTCTCTCTATGGCGCACCTCGGTTCTGATGGCGGTTCTGTTGGAAGTTCTGAACGGACTGTTTCTGAGGCCGCGCTTGTGGCACCCCTGCAGTCCGGGGTGTCGTTTTCTTCGGCTCATCACTTCGTTTCCATCAAGTTGACATCCCGCAATTTTTTATTCTGGCGTACTCAGCTTCTTCCGTTCCTGGATGGTCAAGGGTTGTTGGGTTTTGTCGATGGAACGTCCGTGTGCCCTCCGTTTACTGCCCTTACTGTACCGCCTGCCGAGGGGGATGCTGCCGCCGTGACCTCGTCGGCTTTGTCGTCCGCCGCTCGAAGTGCATGGCTTCGTCAAGATAAGGCCGTGCTCTCCTTGTTGATCTCGTCCTTGTCCGACGAGATGATGCATCTCGCCATTGGTAAAACCTCTTCTCGGCACTTGTGGGTGGCGATCGAGCAGGTTCTCGGTTCGACGACCCGGGCCCGTGCCCTTCGGTTGG